TATATATATGCGTGTGTGTGTGTGTGTTTGTGTATGTGTGTGTTTAATTATTGGTATTCAATAGTGTTCAATGCAAAATATGCAAACAAACAGACACAACACCCAAGGTTGCTAGACCGATGCGGTTGGTTTGAATGACTAATTGAATACGACGTAGCAGTGGTCAGTAACACACTAATGGTGATTAACTAAAATGAATTAGAACTTCGTGCCCACAGGCAGCTGCCTGTACATAAAATACAAATAGAATTCTGATATAAAACTAAGTGTATCCATCCCATTTTATATAAAATCAACATCACACAATCAAATTCTGTAGCATTGTTTCCACACACACATACAAACGATAACATAACACTGTGGTTACGCACAGTGTACTAACCCCATACCAACTTCCTTCTTCACGCGCAACGAGTCTATTCTTGTGATAGTGCTTGATTATAAATACATAATCGTACCTTCCCCCAAATCCACAAAAGCAAAGTACGTGTCCACATTGTACGGCAATGATTCGATCAGCGCCCACAGCCCACCCACATACGGTGCACTCTCGTTCTTGAGCAGACTGAATAGCAGGTCGAAGTAATGGCCTGTATCGGGTAGATGGTTAAGAATGATATGAATGACCATTTTCACCCACAGATGAAACTGTACTTTGGGTAGGGATGGCTTTTGTGGGACAGGCGCTTTGAAACTATGGCGAGTACATAGTACATTGGAGGTGGGTACATATTTATATTTAAATACGAAGCGCAGAGTACACTGAGAGGTTAATGTTTGTATTTTTACCACAACCCACGTAAGACCAGTAAAGAGAAGAAGTCAACAAGCGCTGTCACTCCAATTACAAAATAAAAAACCAGGTTTTGTCTCAACTCGCCTAATCCAGTGCAACCTACAAAAAAACTGAAGTTTTTCACTCAACTCACCCGATGCCAGAATTACAGTGGGTACGTCAGAGGCGGCGGCGCTGGATGCGGTAGGGGGCGCGTTATCGGCCGGCGATTGCGGGCTATTAATAGAAGCGTTCTCATTGGTCATGCCACCCTCCTGCACTAACGGGCTTACCATCACATTGAGGCGCGCGCCGGGTTTGATCTGAGCCTGAGAACGATTTTTGTACCAGAAAGGTGTGAAATGTATTTCAGAACGGCTGGAAAAAAAGATTTGTTAAATTTGTCAAAAGTGTACAAAACTGTCAAAGCGAATTGGCACATCTTGAAATGTGCTGGATTTTGTTAAATTTGACCAATCAGAAAGTAGTACACAGAGCCGTTGAGAGGTAGGTACTGTGTGCTCGCTAGTCGTTGGGGCAACACATCTCTAGGACCGTCTGTACATCTGAGAGCACTTCAATAGACACAAACACACACACACGCACTTGATAAAGGAAAAATATATATCCCGCAAGCACAAGGACATGCACATTTGAAAAGCTATAGTAAGCAGATTGTGGGACAGCGCTACACACTCGAGGATCCATTAATACTTTTAACGGACACACAGACACAAATATGCACACAAACAAGTTACACGCACACACACACACACACACACACACACACACAAACACACACCTGTGCCAAAGTCTGAGTGTCTCCTTTCAGCTCTTTTCCACTAGCAATGATTCTCAGCGCAGTGTGGTGAACGTTGAGTGTGGTGGCTATGAGGCGTCTCACCTCGCCTATTGTCGTGACAGTCATGGCATTGAGATTGATCACTGGCTGCCCCATTGGGCAGATCTTCAGCGGCAGGGGTTGCCCCTCGAAGACGTACCCGGTCCTAAAATTATGGGTGCAGGTGCAGCGAGAGTTGAGAAGAGATTGCGAATATATTTATATTTATAAATATACATAAATACATACATACATAAATATATATATATATACATACATACATATATATGTATATGTATATATACATATATATATATATATATATTTATATATATATATATATATATATATGAATGAATATGAATATGAACATGAATATATATATATGTGTGTGTGTGCGTGATATAAATATAAACATGAATTTATATATATATATATATATATATATGAATATGAATATGAATATGAATATGAACATATATATATATATATATGAATATATATATATATGAATATATATATATGTGTGTATGTGTGTAAAAGTGTGTGTGCGTGAATATAAATATAAATATAAATATAAATATGAATTTATATATATATACATGTGTGTGTGTGTATGTATATATATATATATATATATATATATATATAAGATAGATTATATAAATAAATATATATATATATATATATATATATATATATATATATACATATATATATAAATATAAATAAAGATATAGATATAGATATAGATATAGATATAGAAATATAAAAATATAGAAATATAGGAATATAGAAATATAGAAATACACATATATATATATACATATATAAACGTATAGATGCATTTACGTATAGATCTCTTGATTCATAATTCGTAATATATCATAGCGGTGACGTTGAGGTGAAGACGGGTGAGTGCACAATCACGGCATTAGACACATAGGCTGGTTTCGAGGATAACCAGATGTTACATAGAAGTTGTGCATCACTATTCATACAAAATAAATAATGAACCAAACCTAGTAAACACATAATGTAAGGCGCAAATCAATGAACTTCAAGAAATAAACACTTCCGTCTTACAAATGGATATACTAATGGAGTATACCCATTTGAAGTTGAAGTGATACCAATGAATGAGCAAATCCGTGGTATTGCTCTCCGTGGTATTCCTCTGTATGGTATACATGCGCCTCATAAATAAAAAACAACCACAATCGAAGCAACGAGTGAGCACGAACCTCGATACAGCCAGACAAGCAGAAATAATCCTTTCGAATGTACACGACTCAAGATGACTATCAAAACACCCGGATATTGTCACAAAGCATGTATGGTCCTCATGAATATATGCGATTCACATTTTTAGGGTAATAGGGCTTTGTAAAAACAAACCTGGATATGGTCAAATTAGCCAGCTTGTCGCGGTTGTCCTGTGCGTATTGCTTGTTGTACTGGGACAGCATAGTCAGCGCACGAGTAATGGAGATATCCGTGTAAGTCACGCTTCCGCTGGTTTCACTTTCTCCTTCAGTAGTGCTTTCTGTAGTATCAAGAGGGGATTGTATATGAGGTGTAGTGCTCGCTATGGGGTAATCAGTGCATTCTATGAGTCGATACGAACAGTGCGGTCACTAGACGTAGCGTAGTGAATGTCGATACTCCTATGACTCGAATGCTATAGAGTGATCCCCATATAAATTGGCGATAGATGGGTGATATATATATATATATATATATATGCGTGCGTGTGTGTGTATGTGTGTGTGAGTGTGTGTGTATGTGTGTGTGTGTATGTGTATGAGTGTGTGTGTGTATGTGCTTATGTGTGTGTGTGTGTGTGTATGTGTTTATGTGTGTGTGTGTATGTCGCATATAAAGCTGAAATCCATGGGGTTCCTGACAAAACTCGTTGATGTGATCACAGCTTCACGGTTCACTGATTGATTCTAATTGTGAAGGATACATGCACATCTCCACAGACCTATGCATGATCTAGTACAAATTTGATTACAATGCATCAGTATTGAACGGGTAGTGAGCTACATTAGTGGGACCCTTCGCCGATCAAAACAGTTCACGTAGAGCTGTAATGTAAAGGTATATAAAATGGCACACATATACATTACCCTATTTATTGTTACCGGTCTTACCTGGGATGATGTGATCTTCTGTGGCCGACAGTACGTTGTTAACAGCTGCCTGAATATCTGCATCTGATTCATTGTGCGCGCTGGTTGCCATGGCAACACACCGCATACACCGTCCGATGAACTCCAGGCGTCGCGACAGTCGCTGTTCAGCGTCATCGGCATGTGACACGTCGAAGTTTGCATACAATGCAATCACGAACTCGTTAACCTGTGGCACAATGTCAATACAATCAGATGATGTATAATCAGTATAACAAAACCTCTATCATGAATTTATATATCTGTGGCACACTGATATA